TTTTTTCAAGAACAGAAATGAACCTCAGAGATGAAGAGTGTGATGGAGCACAGAGAAAGTTCAGTTACTTGATAAATGGGCCAAACGGTTGGATTTCTTTTACCTTTTATGCAGAAAACCATCGTTTAGCGAAATAGGACTGAATTCTGTGGACGGCAGGTGGGTGAGGGGCAGCAGGCCATCTCAACAGCACCGTGATGAGATTCCCGGATGGAGGAGGGAGTCAGCGGTGCTTGCATATTTGGGACTTCATCTTAGGGAAGTTACCTAGAATCTCTGTAGCGTCCAGTTTTCATGGGAGGAATATCATGGGAATAGGGGTCCCTGTCCCCGGACGCCTGGTTGGTCAGTCTCAAACGAGTTTACTGCCTCTGACCCAACTGTGAGAACCCAGCCAGGGAGAGTGCATGTCAGCCTCGGCTCCCAGCAGCACAGCCTCTTTCTCTACAAGCCTCAGATTTAGGGGAAAACAAAAACAAAAACAGAGTCAAAGTAGGTCTTCATTAATAAAAGACGGGGATCTCCCAGAATTAATCATCTCGCCCATCTTTTCCAGTTCTGGAAATCTGATCTTTGAACCTGGTATCCTCAATCTTAGCACAATACCTGCGACCATAATAGATGCTCAGTAAACTTGATGGGAGGAAAAATCAATGAAGGAAGTGAAGTAGAGGTGCTGGGTCCCAAGGAGTCGCGAATCTGGACCATCCAAATAATGGCAGCCTATGGGACTTTGGAAGCATTCCAGGAATGGAACAATGGCACTCAATGAAACTGTATAAACTCATAAAGTATCCCGTAACTAACCTAGTATAGAACAGTAACACTGTTTACACTGATTCGAAGAAGGCTCATGCCGGCGGTCTATGATGTTGTCAGCATGGCTTGAATCCTTGAGGGTGGGTGACAAGTAGAGTGGGTAGTAAATGGGCCCCCTGGTTTGCAGGGAGAACCTCTGTTCCAGTGGTGCCCCTGCAGCCCCCTCTAAGAGGACAATTTAGCCTCAGATACGGCCACGGTCCTCATCTAAGCTGACTGCAAATACAGCAAATCCACCTTCGCAAAGACTTTATTCTAAAGACATAAAAGAAAGAAAAAGGATGAGAAGACTTGAGAAGGGTGAAAGTGTGAAAAAAAAATGTTTAAGGTTCATCCCCTCCGAAGCCCAGGGACGGAAGGGTCCAGTCCTTCAGGACTGCTGCAGAAGAAAGGAGAGCAGCCCTGTAGCTCATGAAGACATTACGAGGCACGGGGACAGAGAGTCTTTAAAAGGGTCTCGAGGTCCCTCTGTGTCCTTGGCTGTTAAGTTGCCCAAGAGCAAACCCCAGCTTCTCACTTGCTCCCGGCTCTGCATGTGTGCGTGTGACCCATGGGCCCTCTCAGCGTGTTTTCAGCCTCGCCATTGTGGGACTTCAGAGGACTCTGCTCCTTTGGACTTGTGTTTGGGCGTCTGTGGGTTGCTACCAACAGGAGGAGGAGGATCGTCTATTAAGGGAAAAGATTTCAGTGACCTGGCAGGAGGGAGCGTCATCCGTGTTTGACTGTTTATGGTATGTCAGGGAGCTGGTTCCTGGCAGTGGCTTCCCCGGGGCTGGGGAGGGGTGTGCTGGGGGTGACAGGAAGACTAAATCACGACAGAGAAGGGAAAGGAGCCCGCCCTCCACTTCCGGCGTTCACTGAGAGGGGCCGTGGCCAGCCTTCGCATCAGAACCCCATTGTAAAACACGTCCAAGCGCGTGGTGTGATCTGGACAACAGGCTTCTCTCCGGTGGAGTGTCAGACCCACGCCGCTCTGCACAAAGCTCTGTGTTCCCTGCTTTCTCTCATGACTCCACCCATAGCCAGGAATTCCAGCTGCTGGGCGTCCATCCCTATGAGCCATAACTAAGTGTGGCTGTGGGGCTCCCCGACGAGCATCAGGTTAGGGGACCAAAGTCTACATAGCCTGTGGCTGATTCGATGTTGTTACAGATTTACGGTTCAGGGCTGTTGGCTTCTGCCACCAGCTTGTCTTCTCCCAAGGGCAAGGGGCCTGCCTGTTGGCTCTTAGATCTTTAGCACTTAGCAGACTCTCAGAAGTGTTTTCTAGAGGACGTTCCATGGGGAGTGTCCACTGCACTGATGAAAACAACTCTGCTTTGAGAGGAGCAGAGCAGGAGCCTCAGGTGTGCGTAACGGGACACCGGCTCGAGGCGCCAGGCTGAGCTGCTGTGTCAGGACTGGCTCTACTTCCCCTTCTGGAGGAGTTTCTGCTTTATCAGTTGCTCCCTGTTTCCAGCTCCATCTCGCTGCCAGAGGGCCGAGGTTTCCTGGCTTCTGTTGCACCGTGGCACAGAATCTGTTTTGAAAGGACAGGAGCATAATAAAAGCGGATACGAAAGCAGGGCCACATGACATCACGTAGAATACGGGAGGAAGTCCACACTTGTGGATGTTTATCATCTCAGCACGTTAGTTGTTTGTAACATGATAAGAGGACTTTTGATACACAGGACTGCAGGCCTTGTTGCCTAGACAGGACTTAGGAATTTTTATCTTAAGCTCATAGTGACAAACGGAGAATGGGGATCTTGGCCTGGATCCCAAGTGACCCTGGCTTATTGGTTGACTTTGGGTACAAGGTTCAGCATAGTTGAGCCATTTAAATTGTGCCTATGCCAGCTACTCACAGAATTTTCAAAAAGAAAGAGAATAAAGAAAGCTAAGAATTCAACATAGTGGAGATGAATTAACCTACTAGATTTTTCCTTCCAAAATCTTACTTCAGAGAAATTGATAGTATATAGAAGTTAGCATTAAATTAAGACCTCTTTAAGGTTAATTCTGTAAGCCATATAGTGTCAGCATTATCTGCATGCTAACTGAATGAGAATTCTAAGGCTGGGCGCAGTGACTCACGCCTGTAATCCCAGCACATTGGGAGGCTGAGGCAGGTGGATCACGTGATCAGGAGTTCGAAACCAGGCTGACCAACATGGTGAAACTCCATCTCTACTAAAAATACAAAAAAAAAAAAA